GCAGACAGGCTACTGGGCTAGATGGACCTTTGGTCTGACCCAGGACGGCCATTGTAAGCTCAGGGCTCAGGGTCGGGGGTCTCAGTGGACCCCCTTGATTTTCATGCACTCCTGCTCCTGGGTGGCCAGGCTGGCAGCTCTCCTGCCCTAGACGGCCATGTTCCTGTGCCTAGTGCGGAGATCGTGGACGAGGTCCACGATGTCCGCACTAGACCAGGCGGGTGCCCGCCTCTTGCGGTCCCGGGCAAGCTCCCGTGAGCCGCCAGCCTGGTCCCGGGAAGAGGGGGAGGGCTGGGGGGCATCGGGTGGGTGGCTCGATCCGTGCCAAGTGCTGGGTCTGCTGGGTGGGTGCTGGCAGGCTTGCACCTAGCACGGGCACCGTAGCCAGCCCGTGCCCCTTTAAGAGGTCCAGGGCCGGGAGAGGGGCAATAGAGTTTCCCTGGTGTTGGCCAGAGTGGCCACCAGGGAAAGCTGGGGAGGGCTAGCCTCCCACTTGTTCGAATTAAGGGTCTACATAGCCCTTAATTCGAACTAGTAAGTTCGAACTAGGCTTAATCCTCGTGGAATGAGGATTACCTAGTTCGAACTAAGCGCTCCGTTAGTTCAAATTAAATTCCAGCTAACGGAGCACTAGTGTAGCGCCTATGAAAGTTAGTTCGAACTAACTTTGTAGTGTAGACATACCCATAAGGATGAGAGGGGATGTCTATCTCTCTATCTCCCTGCACTAATTAGTCCCTGAAGAAGGCTGGTGATGGGGGCCCAGTTGAATAGAGATTGAATTTTAAAGGGGGCTCTCCAGAACAGAGCCTACAGTACTTCTGGGATAAGTCAATACCATCAACCCCTACACTCATGTTTCTAGCAGATCTGAAGTCCAGGCTCTGGAAGTGAAAGAGTGGTGTAACCTGGCCCAGACAGAGAAAGAAAAAGGCCCAGTACCATCCCCCCAGGGTACACCTTCCATACCTTGAATTCATCTGAGATTTCTGACATGAAGGAGGAAATCTGCTTCATGAGCCGGTCAATGCTGCTCTCACTGCCAGTTTTCAGCAGTGTGGTGATAGCCAAAGTAGCAATGCTGCGGTTGGAATCAGTCACTAGGTTCTCCAGGTCGAGGTTACAGGCTGTCACAGCAGACGGGTGCTTCATGGCAACCTGAGGAGAAATAATGGAATTCACTGAATGCATGGAAAGAGCCCAGCTGATAGAACAAAATGCTATACAGACCCCTATACAGTGCTCAAGCTTGTCTACCAAACCACATATAACAACAGGTGCCTTGAGGGTATCCCAGATAAATAATTCCCTTGAGGGCTATCAGCTCTATTCTCCTAAAGAAATATACCCATTCCATTCAATGACAGACATTAGTAACATGTCCTTCAAATGCCTTGCATCCATTTTTAGAGCTCTGCAAATCCAAGGATATCCACTTTATATCCACAGGTATCTGCATCTATGGATGTGGATATCTGCAGTTCATTTTTGCAGATGCGAATACAAATTTTTTATCTAGAACCCTGCAAATCTGCAGATATCCATGTTATATCCATAGATATTCGCATCCATGGATGTGGATGCAGATATTCACAGATCATTTTTGTGGCTGCAGATACAAATTTTGTATCCATACGGGACTCTATCCATTTTCCACACTCCATTTAGTAAGATTCACACCCCACCCATTGCACACAGGAAGCCAGAAGTGCCTACAGGGGCTCTGAATTTAATTTTTCCATGGACCTCAGCTTTGCAGAATCTATGAAGTCAGCCCCAGACCAGCCACTACATTGATTCTGTAGCTGTCCTCTTTGGAATTGAAGGGAGCAAGGTAAAAGCTACAGAAAGCTGCTCCAACACTTGCACTGGAGCAAAAGTTGCTATGGGGATAGGGTAAGGAGAGGTGTAAGGATTTGGTCCCAGTCACTTGATAAGGATCTGCTTCATCATAAGGAGAGACTTGGAGGCTTTGAGAGAAATGCAATACACCACAACACCTGAGATTCACTGTCATTAGAGACCACTAGTCAGTACGATTTATTTTCTTTTTCTGATGTGCTCCTGGATGTTTTCTTCTGCATAGAAAGCAATGAAATAGAAACTCTGATTGTGTGATTTATAAATACTTGGGAACTGTGTGTGGGACAGGGAGGGAGAAGGGTCAGAGTGACAGAAATCAAAACTTTAAACAGCTTGGCCCCATTTTTCTTCTCTAGGGCTATATCTATACTGCAGGCTTCTTGCGCAAGAAACCTTTTGTGCAAGAGTTTTTGCACAAAAAACTTCTTGCACAAGAGCACGTCCACACCTCAAAGCACATTGCAAAGTGATGTGCTTTTGCGCAAGAGAGCATCCACACTGCATAGATGCTCTTGCGCAAGAAGCTCTGATGGCCATTCACAGAATGGCCATCAGAGCACCTATGCTTTTTCCCATAGGGGTTTCTCACGCAAGAAACCCTTCTGGAGCATCCACATTTGCTTTTTTGCGCAATAGCTGTAGCACAAAAGGGAGTTATGTCTCATAGAAGGAGGTTTACCTACACTGGCAAAAACCCTCTGTTCTGCCGTTTTAATGCTGATTTACTTGCGCAAAAGTGCATTTGAGGTGTGGACGGTCCGCAGATTTTTGGCCAAAAATGGACGTAGCCTAGGACTAGGAATGTTAGAAATAATTTAATTTAGCAATCATATAACCACAACAATTCTAATCGGTTACATGGTTATTTGATGGTCCCTGTGGGTGGGGCCAGGAACCAGTGTGCTCCCCCCACTCACAGTTAGACTCCTGCCACTCCACATTTCTGCCTCTGTATCGGAAGTAGCAGCACAGGGTGGCAGGAAGGAACTGCTCCACTAAGGAAGGCAGGTCAGAACAAGTTCATTCAGGGAGTCAGTTTAAAAACCAGCTCCTGTCTACTGCCCTGTGCTGCTGCATCTGAAGTGGGGCCAGGAGCGCACTGGCTTCCGGCCCCACCCTGCTGCCTTTGATACAGAGGTAGCAGCGCAGGGTGGCAGAGGTCCCCTCGGGAGTGGGGCCAGAAGCACACTGTCTCCCGGCCCCACCCATGGGGACCATCGAATAATCATCTAGCATCCCACAGAGCAGCCTCTGTCCGCAGGGAGCTCGGCCCCCCATGACAGGGCCTGCTGCTGCCCTGCGTTGCTGCCTCTTATATAGAGGCAGCAGTGTGGGACAGCAGGCAGAAGCCAGTTTTCAAACCAGCTCCTCTCATGGATCGGTTCCCACATGCCGTTCTGTGCTGCTGCCTTTGTCTCATTGGCAGCAGCGCAGGGTGATAGGTGGCTCCACTGTGTGCTCTTCATTTAAAACTTGGCCCAGTGGCTGGGAGTGAGCCAGCCTGCCAATTCAAGTTATAAATGCAAAGCCCATGGGCGGGGGTGGGGGTGTGGAAGGCTGTTGCGCTTGACCAGGACCATTAACCAATAAGCCAATAGCTGATTGGTTAAATGGTTATTTGGCTAGGTGCTAACATTCCTACTTCCCTATCTAGAACCCAGACCTGGGGAAGAGAGGGGGACAGGACTTCACCTTCCAGGGGAGGTGAAAGCTATTTAAACTCCTAGAACATTGAGTCTTACCTTGTTGAGGGTTCGGACAGCTGCATATCTAAGAGCCGCCTTTGGGGAGCTGCAGAACAACTGTAACACTGAAACATAGCATCAAACACAGAAATTAAGAAACTGATGAACCAGGTATGCCTCACACCACACACAAAAAGATTCTGATTCATTGTACGAGCAACAGTGAGCAGGAAATAGTTAGAAGTTCTCTGGATTTACCATCTCAGAATCATAGGGACCCATGGAAGGTTAAGCAAGTCCAGTGGTTTTCAACACATGGGGGCTGTGCCGAAGGGATCCACAAAAGGTTGACATTCATATAAAAGAGCAGTGTTCAACATGTGGTCTGCGGATTAGGTTTCAGATTTCCAAAGGGGGCCACATTTCCATTTGAAATTTTGTAGGGTCCACAAGTGAAAAAAGATTGAAACACACTGAGCAAGTCCATCTCCCTCCATTCCCTAACATCACTAAAAGGTGCTCATCAAACCATGGCTTGGAAATTTCAATCTCCATCCACTAGTTGATCTTCCTATTGAACCTTTATTTCCACTGCTGCTTAAATCCATTTTTTCTTGTTTCTCTTTAAATCCCATTCTATTCCATGTGTGGTAGGCTAACAGAGATCACACACCTTCCTCAGAGCCCAAATGCACCACCTCAGCGAGCATCTGAACTCCACAAGGTTGTGAAGCTAGAGCCCCCAGGTTGCTTCAGAATCCCAGGTCTCTCACAGAGCTGCTGGTATGTCACAAGACAAAAGGATTTTTTTGTTGTTGCTAATTAAAATGGACTGCATAGTAGAGACACAGACCCCAGACCAATCCACACTGATCATACCAGGTAAATAAATACTTTCTACCATCAGCAAAGACATATCTAGGAAACAGTGACATCTCAAAAAGCCTGAGTACTGACAAAGGCTGGTCAACAAATGCAGTCATTATAGGCCCACAACCCCCATTACACCCTTAAATAGCACTAGAATTACCAGATACAGCAGGTGCCAGCTCTTTTGCAGTGCAACTAGGCAGGTTAACAATGGCAGAAGCAGCTTCATAGACCACCATCTCGTGTTTATTTCTTAAGCAACTCTCAATGAAATCGAACAAGGGGCTGTCATGGCTAGGAGACAAAGTGAAAAAATTAAAAGGAGCCTTAGGCATAAGGAGGACAGACTGGGCTGGCAGAGAAGGAATGGCTCTCAGAGCTACTGTAAGTTGCATTTTATGAAAAAGAAGTATGATTGTAATCAATCTGTGTGCAGCTGGTTGTCCCTACGCTGCACTAATTTGAATTGCAGAGATATAACTGAGACTCTCCTCCAGCCCCTCTCCAATTAATTAAAGGGGAATTTCCATTAGCTGTTAGAAATACTGTGCAGGGCTTGTGACAATCAGTAGTGCAGTTCTGGCACTATCCAGCAGAGGGCAATGGTATCTACAAACTAGCCACTTAATAACTACACAATATGGAAAAAAAAAAATCACATGAAAGATTTCAGTGAAGTGTAAGAACTATATACAAGGGAATAACATAAACATGGAAGCAAAGAGCCTGATCACCAAACACCTCGATCAGATACTTGTATATTGTTGTTACAAAATAAAAGTGCCAAGGAAATCATCTCTCAATCTCTTTTCTGTGCTACGTTGTAACACTTAATAAAAGGAAAGGGGGTCACATCATGCTGTATGTTATTTTCTAACAGTTTAAACAAAATCAAAAAACAGGACAAGCCCTGTACGAGGAGATTCCTCCGATCCCTCTTTGTAAGACTGCCAATGCAGCAAAACAACTTCCTTACTTTCCTGCCTCTTCCTCCAGCAATTTGCTGGCCACTCGGATCATCATGCAGTAGGCAAAGGGTGACTTCAGACCATGACGCATGAACTTGCTGAGCATCTTGTTGACTGCCAGACGGTCATTCTTACGCACGTGGTAAAGTAAGCCGAGGGCATGATACTGTGCAGATTAGCAAAGGAGAAAAAAAAAAAAAAAAGGTTTCACAAATCACACACCACGCTATGTATTCACTTACTCATCTATGGCACACAGATTTACAACCAACCTTGGTTGTACCAAATCCCCTGATGGGCTCTTTGATCTGGTTCATGCACCTGGAGGTTTCTTACCTGCACCATGATATTGTCACTGGACGCTGCCTCCTGAGCCTCATTCACCCAGCGTTTTACCACGTCAAAGCTGGTCTTCAGCAGGTGCTGTGGGCACAGAATATCCCATAAGAGGACCAGGATAAACTTTGCAATTCACTGATTTATATTAAACAGCAGCAACACCAATCTTCTCCAACCTGGGTGTTGGAGAGACAATGATACAGGCCTACCTCGTAGGGGTGTTGTAAGAACTATTCCTTAACAAGAGTGCACGAAGAACAAAGGGAGAATCTTGATAATGATGGATTTATATTTCAGTAATACCTTGAAGCCCTAATCAGGACTGATGCTCCATTGAGCTGGGTGACCTACACTGCCCCTCATAAAGACTCAGTCCCTGCCTAGAAGAGCTTGCCATGTAATTCCAGCATTGTCTCAGTTTAGCAGTTTCAAATCTACTTTTACAAAAATACAAATCACCAGACCAGAAGGGAAACCTGCTATCCTCTGGCTCCAGCCTCACAGCAATCATTAATGAGAGGAGAAAGTATACACACACCACATTGGTGAAGAGACTTTTTGTCTGATGTCATGACACCTTCACAATGCACCATCTAAGTTTTGGTTATTTTTAGGCAGCCAGTCTGTTCATTTGCAAATGCTGGAGGTTCTGATCCAAGTCCAGTTTTAAATCCAAAACTAAATTCTGCAGATTGACCTTCAAGGTAAATGGTGTCCAAGGGAGAAGTGAGCATTACAAAGGAACATGGGTCAGAAAGCTAGTCCAGCGTGAGTGGTCCTGTAAGCTTCCTTCTCCCATTGTGTCTATTTCACAAATGAATCTATGCCGACCCACAGAGGATGTAACTCAGTGTTCTCAAATATGTACTAATCAATTATACTTCATATTTACAGAAAAATTCTCTCTACTGAAAAGACAACTCATGTTTTAACATATGAAAACACAGGAGAGTGAAGAATATGCTGGTCAGCTCCCAACACAGATATTTATTTGCTTCCTGGTTTAACTGGCCTGCACACAAATCCCTGCAGGTGCAGACATACCAATGATGACACCAGGGCAGAGCTGGACACACTGGGCACCTTGTCCACAATTGCCTGCTTCATGTAGCGTTCTATGGCCTGCAGCATGGTACTCTGCAGAGAGGAGAAAATGAGAAGCAATGTCTTTGGGAAGACACAAGGAAAGCTCAACTGCAAGGAGAAAAGCAAGGTGAGAGATGGGTTGCAAAGGCAGGTTTGAGAGGGGCACGCAACCAGGGATAAGTAGATAAAGGCCCAACAACAGGACTGGCAAGTGGCACTTACATCAGTGATTTGGCAGAGTGCTCTCACAGCAGGGCCTCGGTAATTGTCGTCCTTCCCAGTCATGTCTTTGGTTAAACTGCAGAAACATGAAGGACTTTAGTATTGGGCGTTTTACCCCCAGTACTATAAAAAGCACACATACAGTGTGCACATACCCTATTGTGGATTTTGGCTGTGAAATCCAGTGCCCATGTGTTGGTAAGAGGACATGACAATGCTATCTTCAGCCTAGTCTTGCTCTGGTACAGAAAGTTCAGTCACGAAAGGAATGACAGGAGCCTTTTAATCACCCCGAGAGACCAAAACACCAAACAGCTACTTAGCATTAAGGGCTAGAATAATGAAGAATCTGGATTCCTTCCCTAAACATTCTGATCTTGCCCAAAGCATCAAGCTATGTTTGGTACCAAATTACATGTGGGGAAGCGGACTGACAGTCCCTATATTTGGGGGCTGATTTCTAAATGCTGTTTGGGGAGTGTACATTTGCAATCACCATTAACTCATCATTGCTGTCTCCCACTGTAGCAGCCTCCTTTTAGGTCATGACTTCCCTTTGGGAAATCAGTGGATCAGAGATGACGTGTCAAAGATGACTTGGGCTCCACTAGCAGGGTATGCTAAGCAGTGCCCAATGAGGTAAGAACAATAGAAGTCTCATGGCTAAATCCTTGCCTACCTATATGGCAATGTATCCCCCAGAGAACACGTCAATACCCTAGTAAACGTCAAAGTGCTCAGATGGAAAGGCATGAGTTAATAACGAACCCTTTACAAAAGAACGTGGTCAGATACAGTGGGGTGGGCACAACATGGGAACCAAATAACCAGAGAGCCAAATAAAATACACAAGGGTCTGGCATATGGCATTTACTGCACTATAGAGTTCACATATATTGTTAGGGTTTCAGTGCCTATATTTCTACAGCACCCTTTAAAACAAACGCATTTCCACAGCTTCATAACTCCTTGCAGGGATAACAACTATCTCTAGGTGGGGGGAGAAGACTTGCTGGAAGGTACATGAAAATACCAGTGAGAAAGAGGGATCACCCAGCGAGGACTCACCTACTGGTTACAATGATGACATCCTCTGCAATGCAGGCCATCTCTTTGATGGTCAGGTAACACATCCTGCGAAGAGTTGGCTGGTAGGGAAAACAGGCAACACAAGCATTAGCTGGCCACATGCCAACCCTGGCAGGGTGCCCACACTTGCCAATTCTTGTGATTTTATTGCAAAATGACAATATTTGTCATTTTCCTCCTAGAGCCAAATGATTACGTGAGAATCTCAACTTGTATTTAAAACAAATAAACAAAGGGTGAAATCCTGGCCCCAGTAAAGTCAATGGAAATAATGACATTGATTTAAATGAGGCCAGAATTTTACCCCATAAGACTTTGTAGTACTCATGGTTACAGAGAAAAGCTTGAAAGCATGACACGAGGGAATGCTCAGGGCTCAGATACCAGAAGGCCAATAACAAAACCCAAACAATTTTTTTTAAATAATCAGATTTTTAAGCCAAGTTTCATGATTTTGAGGCCTGATTCATGATTTGTGAACACCTGGGGCTGGCAATACAGGGTACTCTGTTGCTGATTATACCCTGTAGGAGAAAACAAGTGTTTGTGGCTGGTCTGCTCAGAACTATAGCACCTCTTATCTAGCTGGCTATTGGTGTGGTGCTAGTTCTTCCCCTTCCTCAGGTTCTACTATGGGCTGAGCTACCTCAGGAGAAAGGTCACTGTCACTGAGCACACAGCAAGGCAGATTTGTACAGTGCTTAACTCAATGGGGCCCAAGCTGGTCATAACCTTTAGAGACTCCCACTGTATAAATGTTAAATGATAAAGGCAGTTAAGATGGAAGAGGCCCAATGCATGGTGAAGCCTGATGAGTCTGTCTTATCAGACTGTTTGGTTATACAGATTGCACACAATTCATAAAAAAGAGCTAGGGATGAAGGGATGGTCAACAAAGCTGTTTGTACATTGTGACTCTGATAGCACTAGCCATTAAACAGTTCATTTGTTTTTTTATTTAATAGGAAAGTTCCCAGCCAAGAAATGGATTCACCATCTCCCTCAATTTACTGGTCTGTAGGTTGTGTTAGTATTACTTTGATATGCAACTTCAGGACCTTTGTGCATGTTCTCTCTCTTCTGTACAAATCTCCCACAGCAATTCTCTACACACAGACTTAGTGGATGTCAAAGCACACCATGAAACTTCTAATACCCAGTCCACAAGGCAATTTGTGTGTGTCAAGCTAGTGTGCTCTAGAGTCATACCTCCCCTTGCCACACACAAAGTCTTCATGTAGACAAGCCTCAAGTCACCAAAGTGCAACAGGGAAAAATGAGGAACTGCTGAGATATCAGTAACTAGGAACAGATGCACTTCACAGTGCTCATGTGGGGAGCATGGGTCAGGTGGTTCTACCTAGAGGAGAGCAGCCTGTCCATAATGAGATAATTCAGGGCTGAATGTGAGGCTCTCACCAGCATCACATCCTGGTAGACAGTTGTATGCACAAAATGTGCAAGTATAGAACTTACATCATTGGACTGGAACAGCTTGGTCATGGCAAAGAAGGATTCCGTAGCTTCCATCACACCCAGGTGTTCCCCCTAGAATGGGCAAAGTATGGACAAACGTTCTTATTTACAAGACAGCAGGTTTTGTATAGAGTAGAGATAACAGAACAACCAACTACCGACAACAATTACAGCTGGGGTCATGACAAAGCTAGTTTCCTATTTCTCCCGCTGAAGTATGCCTCAACATTAACAGGGAGGGACCACCTCCAGTGCCCAGAGACAACAGAAACTGTTGTCCTGTGTGTCCCCACCATGTGGTGCTGAAAGTAGTTGAACTGCTGGTGTAGGTGGAAGAAAACCTTACTCAGCACTGTTACAGACACATAACAACTACTGTCAGCAACAAGGCAATTTTCTGAAGGATGAGGGGGAGTTCAGTCTCCATAGCCCACACACTATTCCTTTTCAGCTGAGGTGGCTAATAAGGGGCCAATTACCAGTAGGTCCAGATTTGTAAAAGTAGTTAGGTACCTAAAGATGCAGATGAGACACTTAGTGGTCCTACCTTCTTCTTTAGCTGCCTAAATACCTTTAAAAGTCTGGCTTTTAGTAACTACTTCTATGTATGTACGTGACCACCAGGAATTGGATTCAGAGCCACAGTGGTCATCGGACAGCTATAAGTTGCTACCAGTCTGTGCATTGGTTTTCTATACTGCCCATTCTCCAGAACTCTTTGGCCCAGGAGAAAGTGGTGACTTACTGGAATTGCTGTTTAAGTAACATTTCATAAGACACCAGTTAAAATTAGCAGGCCAGACTAATTTATAAAAGAAAAATGCTTATAATCTAAAGAACTCCTAGTTCACATCTCTCCATTACCTGGTTTATGAGGTACAGAATCTTGGTGAGGATGTGAGCACATTTTCGAGGGTTTATAGGTGTCTCATTAAACACCCGAGCCTAGAAACAAACAAAAGCAGGAATAAGAGCCCAAAAAGACACTGGCTGTTGTTTACCTAACACATAACATACTGTGTGAACTGAGCCACTGATGCAAGTTACAAACCAGATATTTTAGGACTCTGTCAGTGACTTCAGATAAGACTCTTTCAGTTTACAACAAAAGAGATGCCCCCAGCATCCCAATAACTATCCCTAACAACTCATCCTGGCATCTGAAAGAAAAACTTTGATAAAGGTTCTATAGATCAAATGTCAATCTCAACTTCATTCTAAGAAGACAAACCATTCTGCTGATAATGCCACAAGCCAGAATAGAATCCAGCTTCCTCTCTCAGAGCACAGTTTCTGCAAGGCTAATGAGAACAACCAGTACTTAAAATGTTATTTTGATCAGTGAAATGAACAGATATAATTCTGAATTTTCAAGGAACCAGGTCTGTAAACTAAAAAAGGCCTTTAAAACAGTCATTTTTCACTTTAAAGGCAAAGATTGTCCAATAGTCAACCACAGTCCTGTTTATTAATTTCTCTATCCTACTAGAATTTTAGGGCACCCAAGGCTTCTTAGAAGAATTGGAAAAAATTGGGGAAATCTATTCTTCTTGCTGACAAAAACATCCATTTACTCACATTTACAGTTTAACTCTTTTCATTGTTATACAAACAGAATCCAGTTATGCCCACTACCTCCGCCCCAAATCAATGGAAGCTTTATCACTGATTTCAAAGCAAACAGGTTTGTTACTTCCTAAAGATCTCTAACTTTCTTACTCCAGAAAGGACTATATCACTGAGGATGTCCATATAAGATATGGGATTTTAACGATTTACCTCTTGCAACACTGCACTCTTCTCCAGGTGTTGGAATGGATTGGAACCACCACCTGTAAAGTAAGATAAGCAACAAAGGTGATCCCAAGAATTATCCTGTGTAAAAATACACTAGAAAGACTCCCTTTAGATCACACCTTTAACACCTACAGCTTAAAATAGCTTAAAATTCACTTTTCAGAGAATTTTCCAAAATAATTGTTCTTGACATTACTAAGTGGCCAACCTTATCTCCACCCCCATGTCAGCTTCTTCTAGCTTTTCCCCATCTTGCAGCAATTATCCATCAATTGAGGAAGACTGTACAAAACTTTCTTCAGAGGTAATAAATGTTACTTCTAGATGGGCCAAAGAGGGTTGCCAAATAGCAAAGTGAGGGTTGCTCTCACTTTCAGTCCCCAAGTCTGAGAATACTGCCAGCTGTGGAAGCAAATGAATAGGCTGAGAAATTAAACCCAGTTTAGCAACTGCCATAGAAAACCCTATGACACCAGACTCTGCAAATCTCAAATACTGTATACTTTGCATTATAAAACAATCAGAGAATTCATCAGTAAGCTATATTTTTGGGTATACTAATTAATAAAAAGAACAAGGTAGTGAACTAGAGAGCCTCACAAAAGTGTATTCGGTCATCTTACTTAACAGACTGAATGCTACTTTCTGAAGAAAACAAAAAATGGGTCTCAAATGATCAGAAGGCAAGAACAACAATTACAATCAGTATCTAGTCTTCATCAAGTGTTTATTAGTGAGCTGCAGCTTTCCATAAGCTGATAGCTATTGATAAGCAAATTTAGGGATGATCTCTACAAAGAATACTGTTCTGAGCTTATGATGCTTCAAGTCCAGATCACAATAGACCTTCGGGGTGGGGCTGGCAGCCAGTGTGCTCCAGCCCCACTCCCGGGGCGCCCCCGCCAGCCTATGCCGCTGCCTCTGATACAAGGTAGGGCTGTAAAATTGCGATGAATCAGCTATCCGAGTAGTCGATGGCATTTCCAGCAGCCTGGCTCCTGACTGAGTTCTCGGACCCAGCACGTGCGGGAACTGAGATGCACTGCTTGTCCGCCTGGCTCCTAATACACTTTAAATGCAGAGCCACAGCAGGGGTAGGTCCTGGACCCAGTACGAGCCAGGACTGAGCCAGGCTGCTGGCCAGCCTGCTAAAAAAAAAATGTACTGGTGGGGAAAGAGGGAAATGCGTATAGTCTATGGCATTAACCCTTAAGCTTTTGCTTATCAGTTAATCAGTTAATTGACTACGCCGATGGTCACCGAATGGTCGATCGCGAGGCCTCAACCAGTCGATCACGAGGTGTCCTGTCCCTCCCACCCAGAGAAGCCCCACTACCTACCTCCAGTGAAAATTGAGGTAGTATAGGCTTCCTGGGGATGGACAGAAGTCCCGCAGCTTAGCTCCACTTCTGAGGATTCCGGAAGTAGCGCTAGCTGCTCTGCCGGGTGTACTGTGGGAGGGAGCATCGGCTCCCTGCACCGTACGGGAGGGGTGAGTCAGCCCCGGGGGAGGCGCGCACGCGGGGTTTCCCTACGCCGGTGCGGTTGGCCCCAGAGGGGGGTCAGTTCCAGGGCAGGCGCGTGCGCGCAGAGCTTCCCTGCGCACGGGTGGGTTGGCCCCGGGGCAGGCACATGCTGGTTTCCCTCTGGGGGCGGGGGAATCCTGGGAGGAGGCAGATACAGGGGACTCCCTGCCTCCACTGGCACCCCACTCCCCAGATCCCAATCCCCAGCCACAGAACTCTGTCCCCACTCCCCTGTCCCCAGCCACAGAATTCTGCCC